CGTGCTATGGCACCAACGCTTGAGTCATGCCAGGGTCTCTCAACTCAAGATGACTCAAGGACACAGCACGGGCATGGAACGGGTCACCTTTACCGAATCCCTGGCGTGCGAGCCTTGCCACTTGGCCAAGTCCCAGCGGGTGGTCTCCCGTCAGGAAACCGAAAGGTCCACCCAGGCCTTCGGACGCGTGCACGTTGACGTGGTTGGGCCGATCACTCCGCCGCCGTCACGTGGCGGCAAATGGGTGGTCATCATCACGGATGATCTGACGCGGTATCGATGGAGTCGAATCACGGCAACGAAAGGCACGGCTTACGAGGTGATTGAATGGTTCGTGAACTTGATCAAGGTTCAGCACTTCCCCCTGCACGTGCTGGAACTGGTGCTGGATCGCGGTCTCGAATTCGGCGGTCGGCAGCTGGAACACCTGGCACGGAAGGAGTCGATCATCGTGCGGCGGTCGTCGGACTACACACCGGAGCAGAACGGGACGGCCGAGTCGTCGAACAAGGTCATCCTCACCCGAGCACGGTCGATCATGCTGGACAGTGGACTCCCCGACGAGCTGTGGGCGGAGGCCATCGACGTGGCTGTGCACGTGACGAACCGGACGTCGACGCAGCGAGATGGCGAGCCGCCTCGAGCGAGGCTGACACGACATCTGACCGGTCGGCAAGAAACGGTGGATTTGAGCCATCTGCGCCGATTCGGATGTGTGGCGTACATGCACATCCCCGTGGCACGGCGACAGAAGTCGGCCAAATTCCAGGCCCGCGCCCTCAAGGGCTACATGGTTGGCTACCAACGAGGGGGCCATACCAACTACCGCATCTGGATCCCCGGATCCAAGGTGATCAAAGAAAGCCCTCACGTCACCTTCAGGGAGACGGAGGTGTACGGTGACCGGCACACACGAGGCAGGGTGACAGAGGAGCTCCTGGCTGGGATGGATGCTACAAGCGCCCCCAGGGACGACGGTCCTACAACCACGCCCGACATATCACCCGCCGTGGATGGTGCTGCAAAGAATGGCACTGCACGTCGACTTCAGGACGACACCGACACGGTCGCCGAAAGAGCGGTCCACGAAGAGATGAGTGCTGAAGACGAGGATGACGACACGATCGTCGTGGCTCCTGCCCGAACTCCAGATGCCGCTGCTGAACCAGTGACGAGGCCGGGAGAATCGGCGGAAGGAGACCACAGGCCCGATCAAGATAACTTTGCACTTGATCGGCGCAACAGCATCGAGGACGTCCGCGACCACGGTCCGGACGACACACCACCGGAGAATGCGAACCTTCAGGGGGTGGCAAGGACGGAACGTCGACTAACGCGTCAATCGGCCGACGGCCATCGCAAGACGTATGGACAGTTCCGGACGACTTTCGGACCGTACGCTCAGATGGCCTACGCCATGATGACGACGGAACCCGCCTCGCTCTCGCAGGAGCCTCAGACCTATCAGGAAGCCATGGAGTCACCGGCCTCCGCTCAGTGGCAGGCGTCGATGCGGCGTGAAGTGCAACAGCTCGAAGACCAAGGCACCTGGAAGGTGGTTTCCCACCTGCCGCCGAGACGAAGACTCATTCCGGGACGGTGGGTGTACAAGGTGAAGCGTCAGCCGGACGGCACCATCCAAGAGTACAAATCTCGATGGGTCGTGAAGGGGTTCATGCAGCTGGAAGGCGTCGACTTCTTCGACACCTTCGCGGCCACCTTATTCCCCAGCACGTTTCGGGCGGTCTTCTCCCTGGCGGCGTCTCGGGGCTGGCCCATATACCAGATGGACGTGACGGGTGCTTTTCTGCACAGCCTGATCGACAGCGAGATCTACATGAGCCCACCAGAAGGGTTTTATCCCGCGGGATCGGTGTGCCAGATCTACAAGTCGATCTACGGGCTCAAGCAAGCCCCGCATCTGTGGTTTGAGTCCCTCCGTAAAGCACTCGCTGACTTGGGCTTTCACAGTCTCCACAGTGACCAATGTTGCTTCACCAATGCAGCAACCGATGTCATCGTGATGGCCTTTGTCGACGACCTTCAGATGACGGGATCGAACGACGGGGCGATGCACGACCTGCGATCCGGACTGAAGGCTCGGTTCAAGATGAAAGACATCCCGCTCCAATCGTACTTGGGCCTGCAGATTGAGCGAGAACCAAACAGCCTCCGCCTGCATCAAGCTCCGTATGCTCGCAAGGTCTTGGAGCGGTTTGGGTTCGATGAGGCCAAGGCGGTTCCGACCCCGATGACGGACCACGGCCTCGGTGCCTATGACGGGCAGGAAGATGGAGATCTGAAAACTCGGTACCTTCAGGCCATCGGCAGCCTCCTCTTTCTGGCCAACCGGACACGACCCGACCTGGAGTACGCGGTCAACTTTCTCGCGCGATTTGCCGACAATCCCAGCGCCCGGCATTGGGGCGCGGTTAAGCGGGTGTTTCGCTACTTGGCCGGCACCGTCGATCTCGGCATCCGCTTCCAACAGCAGGACAGCGAGCCGTTTCTGTTCGGCTACAGCGACGCCGACTATGCTGGAGACGTCGATCAACGCAAGTCGACCAGTGGATACCTCTTCGTATTAGGGGGTGGCCCGGTGTCGTGGAAATCGCAGCGCCAGCGCACGGTCACCCTGTCGACGACGGAGGCAGAGTATGCGGCACTGACGGAAGCGATCCGTGAGGCGAACTCGATTCGCCAGCTCCTGGTCGAACTGGGGGTGTCAGTGTCACAACCGATCCCGATCTACGAGGACAACATCTCGACGATCTCATTGGCGAATAACCACGCCAACCACAAACGCAGCAAGCATGTCGACGTTCGCAACCATTACTGTCGCGAACATTCCGAGTCCGAGCATAATCTCATATCCTTAACAGTTATGAAGAAACTGAACTGAGTCTCGAGAATGCTAAGGGACAAGATCTTCGCGTCTACGAACAGGGTGAACAGTCAGCCAATGCCGCACTCGCGTTCTGTCAGATGGCGAGACCGAATCAAGACAATCCCATTTGCATCATCGGGATGGAGCCTCCCGCGTTGGTACGATGCCGAGCGTTTGGGTGTTGTGCTCAACTTCATCAGCGAGCGACGACGTACCTGGAACAGCGCATGGTGTTCAACATGACGCCAAGATTCTCGTTCGTCGACTCGCATATAGGTATAGTCAGTTGGCGTCGATCGACGGGCCATATGCTGATTAAGGCAACAGACTATGCCAACGATGGCATCTCTGCCACCTTACACGAATGCGAAAAAGTGTGGGTGATGTATCCTCCGACGCCTCACAACCTGCAGTGGATGGCCGGCCACAGGGACCAGCAAGCCAAACTGATACAGGGCATGGCGGTCTTGGAAGGGGGTGTGGTTGCGCACACTACTTCGGCGGAGGCGGTCTACTTACCGGCGGGATGCTTGCATGCTGTCTTCACCGTTGCCGTGGGTTCCTGGTCTCGGTCGACTGTACCACTCAGAGGTCAGTATGGCCGTTTGCACAATACCTCCGATACAACGTGCAAGCCGAGCTGGAAGCCAACGAACAGCGAAACTGCTATTTTTTCTTCCTGGATTCTCTCGACGTGGCGTTGCAGAATGCCGGGGCGAGGGATGCCTTCCGTGCGTGGGTCGCGGTAGAAGATCTCCTCCAGATGAAGAGAAAGAACGACCGAGGGTGGGTTCGAGCGGCACGAAAGGTGTGGGATGATTACCTGCAGGCTGACCCGATCATTGATGTTGAATGTCCCTGCCAGGGCCCGTCAGCTCTTACTTCCTTGAGCATCTAAAAGACCGACATTTACATTGGCTATTCAATGACACCGGTCAGGGCCCTACTGAGCCCAACTCAGGCGTTGAATCTGGAACCAAGGTCATCAGGAGGCGGGCGAGTGAAGAGAGGCAAATTGCACGTGGACGAGTGACCGCCCAGGAGTTGAGAGGAAAAAGAGAGCACACAGTGCAGAAATGCAAAAATTCTGAAGATTTTTTCAATTTCTAGCTACGTTCCCACGATACTGTCGCTCAAGATTAACACCTTGGGAAATGGAAGTCAAGCCTCTCGAGATGAGATCCGGACTTGATCAAAATCTTGTGCTGAGGCCGAATAGACAATCGCCAAAGATGTGTCAGGAACCACCAACGAAATGATATTCGTTGGAAGCTGTTTCTCCTTCCCAACTTACACAACTCCATCTAACCTCGAAAATAATACCAAGGCGTACTAGAGGCAGTCGGAACCCGGCTGGCAGCGACGCTGATCGCTGCACAACCAAAATCCATGTGGCGTCTCATACTGAGATCCAGCACATACGTCTTCCATAGCTACTCGAAACGATGACATCAGAGAAACCCACTAGTTAAGACAAAGCTACATGAGAGCACGGCACTTGCTTGGTTACACGCTTCAAGCTCTGCTTGCCATAAGTTACTCAAGGCAGCAGCTCACGATCTCGATGACGTCTCGTCAAGGGTTTTGCGTATGGATTACACTATCCGTAAATCGAATTGAAACTTCTGTCGAACTTCGTGTTCGATATACAATTGAGTCCACGATCGGAGCATATGAGAGCAAGTTGCAACACTCAAACAAACGATCTCCGAGCTCTGCAACAGGTTCTCGCGGGACCAAAAAAGAAGTCCCGCGGTGTGATGGAGAACGGATCAGGAATCGGAAAAGACCCTTCGCGTCTCATGCGAGGTTGTCATCAATATTGTACTGAATTGAGATCGCACCACGATGTCAGTGACCTCTCTTTCAACCTCCTTTGACGAATGTGGTAGGTATGTAACCAGAAGTGGACCTGATTAACAATTGGGGGAAGGTCCTTATGGAAGCCATCTACCTCTTCAAGATGTCAAGTAGATGGCGATGAGACAATGCCACTGCATCACTAAAGCTCGGGAGGCGCCTGGAAGATACATTTGTATTATGGTATTTTTCCATTTGGGAAGGAGGGCTTTCTGCCTGGAGTAAGGAAGGAAAATATCAGGTTGGATGACACTTAGCATCCTTGTGCACTAGAAGACGAGTTCGAGGGGCCACCACTCGTGGCAGGGTCGTGGGCCGTCTTGACCGCTCCAGAGGCAGTCCTCTTGTTTCGAGGACTCGTAGAGAGTGGCTTGTCCTGAGGAGATATCGGAGGAGCACTCTGAGAATAGGCAGAGGCATTGTTGTTGTGCTCTCGGGAACCGCTGCTGCTTTTCGTGGCATGGTTAGAAGATGATGTTGACCCTTCGGCTGCTCTCAAGGCTGGAGGTGGCAGTGTGAACGTGGATTCCATGTCTGAGGAGGGTACGGCCTTTTCCAATGCTTTGAGGTCTGTTGATCCAGTAGGGGCGGGAGGGGGTCTTGGTCGGGGCATAATGGCTTGCCCTGAGGTGGTCGGTAGATTCAGTCTGCTGCCCTCGTGAGGCGCGGAATGGTATCAAGATAAGAACAACACCGAGGGAAGCACAGCGAGTCTCTGATGTCTCACAGAGGGTAGAAGCAGGACAGAAGGAGTTCGAGGGGACGATTCAGGTAAAGAATGCAACGAGGCAGGAGAAGCATCTGAAATGGTGGTTCAGAAACAGCCGTTTGAAACAGTCGGATGTGGGCACGTGTATGAGCACACGACAGCAGCTTCTGAGGGGCTTAGACCCTCGTGTGGCCTGGGGGGCCATGATAGGATGAGACTCGTAACCCGTACCGAGTAGCGAGCATTGAGCAATTCGGCCATGTCTACCTACTTTTTGCCCTGATAGATCCCCAGTACAGAAGAGGTGAAAGGCTGGTGAGGCAGACTTGCAGACTTGGGTTATGGGCACGTGTCGAGGGCCAACTTTTGATTGGAGATCTCATCCGGATTATCAAAAGGCCGACCACCCGAAAAGCTCCTTTCCCCGCGGCAAGGCGCGACTGCGAGGATCCCCAAGACGAACACGTGACTTTGTGCCTTGCTGAGCGAATTTCGACATGACATGTGAATTCACCAAAGATCAGACTCGTAGAGCACGAATGATGCATAAAACGACGCTGCATTATATCATTATTGGGATCTCCTTCAAGCATCAACACTTTTATATTATAATATAAATAGGTATAATGCGTATAGACATGTCAATTCAGCGTGTCTTTCGCCGTCATTATTTTATTTGCCCCTGATATCGTGAACGCTGCTCAGGTCTTCGGCATCACCAACTCCGTTCTTCTTTTCGCCGTTGCTGACACTTCGCGACGACTCCGGTCTCTTGAAATGGACTTTCAAAGATTCCCAGGAGTGAGCATTGTAAGTCTGCAAACATCATGTCAGTATTTGTATTCAATCAGCCATTAAACATGAACTCGTAAACTCACCTCTTGCACATTCTGGCAAGTCTTCAACCCCCATTCGGTGACGCCAACCATCAGACAGCTTTCAAACATAAACGCCATACTGCCCTCCCCGACTTTGGTCGGAGGTAGGTCCATCGTCGATGCCTTCTCGAATGTCTGCATGTCTGGTCCATGCCCACTCATCGTGTTATGTAAACTAGCTCCAGCCGGCTGGAACCCACCCTTGCCGGCCCCTTTGGCATCATAATTGCCCATGATCAGGCCCATAAACTCGGACATGGTGTTGCGATGATACCACGGGGGTCGGAAAGTCTTCTCGGCGACCAACCAGCGTGGTGGGAAGATGACAAAGTCCGCCACTGCGGTACCTGCTCCATGAGGGATGGAGGGCGCGGTGAGGACGGTGAAGATGGACGGATCAGCGTGGTCGTAAGAGATGCTGCCGACAGGGTTGAATCGGCCCAGGTCATATTTGTAAGGGTAGTATGTGCCGTGCCAGCCGACAATGTCAAAGGGAGTGTGCGACTGCTTGGCTGCAAACAAGTTGCCTCCGAACTTGCCATAGAGCGTCCATTCGGTGTTCTCATAGTCTTCGATGAAGTCGGCCACGGGAGTCTGGAAGTCGCGTGCATTCGCCAGTCCATTCGAACCGATTGGACCCAATTCAGGCAATTTGAAATGGCCCTGGTATAGTTCCAAGATGTATCCCCGCACCGGCTCGTTACCATGCAGTGCAACGTGGTATCGAATACCTCGCGGTATGACGCAGATTTCGTTCGGTCTGACCAGCATCTTACCCATCTCGGTCCGGATGTTAAGGACGCCATGCTGTGGCACAATGAGCAAGTCTCCGTCGGCACTGTAAAAGGCCGTTTTGTCAGGCATTGTGAACTAGCGGCGTAGATGTAGATGCCGAGGCCTTGTTTCATCGTGGGGTCTCCTGCGCCGGCCACGAGATGCAAGGAATGGATCCAGGATGCCTCCTTGTCGAAATCGAAAGGATCCCATCGCAGCTGATTGGGGATGGCATTGAAATGCTTGCCGAAGCTGGGTGTGGTGGATGTGAGGGAGTTCGGGGAGGACTCTGGCACAGGCTCGAACTTCTGGTGGCTGGCCGAGGGGAGGATTCGGTAGAGCCAGGTCTGTAGGTTATCGTCGCGAGGCGCGGTGAAAGCGGTCCCCGACAACTTCTCATTGTATAGGCCGAGCGGACATTTTTGAGGAGAATTGGCCGCCAACGGCAAGGCCCCTTCTACAGCTTCACTCCTGCGGCTGGGTGTCAGTCCAAGTGTCCCTAAAATGCCGGCGACTTCAGGCAGCGCCTACTCTTTGTACCCCCCGAACCCATTCAGATATTCGTACGTGTCGGTCACAGCGAATAGGGTTACAGGCATCGTCGATGGCTTGCTCGTCGGTGAAGGTATTTACGTTGCGAACTGCAGGAGAATCGTCAGCGAAATGCGGAGTAGAAGGGCGCAGAGGGAGGGAGAGAGAGAGAGGGAGCGGCGGGTTTTGCCCACAATCACTTACTGGTGAGGGGTGTTTTGTATTTCATGTTGATGTCTTTGTTCTCACGGTGCCGTTCGATGGCTTCTTGTAAACGTTTGAGGCCCTGCATGAAGGGCAGTATTGTCGTATGATCACCTAAGAAGTTTGCGAAAGATGTTCAGACAGGGGAGTGCGGAATGTTGGTCGTGGGAGTCAAGGAAGGGATTCCGTGGGAGGAATATGAATGAAATTGCGACGAAACAGAGGTCTGATGCGGGATGCGGGTCCTGGTGCTGGTGCTGTGGTCCTGGTGGGTTCCTTTTTACTTGTTGAAAGGCCCTAGAGGAAGAAGCCCAGGCGGACTCCGACTGAGGGCGAAGTAACGAACGGGCCGAGAGAGACTCGTACAGAGGGAGAAGTGGTGAGGGAATTGGGCATAGTCAGAAGAGTGGTAGTGGCCGGTGGTGCGCAAGGACACTCTCGATTGGTACTGCGGCTATGCGAAGTGCGTTGAGTGGCTGCGGTGTCGCGCAGTTGGGACAATGGGGCGTCACCAGCAGCGGGAAAGCGCGGGATGGTTTTCTCGCCAACCTTCACCATGATTTGCAGCTCATTTAGCCAGAAAACCGGGGCGAGGGACAAGGCGAATCGAGAGACACCAATCTGTGCCGCCCGAGCCGCTATTGTTCTTTGGTATGAGTATTGTGACTGCCTCGAAGCATAAAGCACATTATTGTGCGGCAGTTCGGAGGAGATGCATGCCAGTGACTAGACACCGACCAGTGGCCAAAGCATCACATCTGTCTCGTCGATGCTTCGCCATGACAAAAGTAGCATCATCAGCCATGACAAGGCCTGTCCTCGTTTCAGGATCCAAAACAACAGCATTATCGGCGGCTGGCCTGCTTCAAATTTAGGCGGGGCTCAGATCGGATGATGCAGGCCGAAGGGGCGATTCAGAGGGCCTGCTTTAGGTACTCGTAGCGTAGAGAAGCCTGGACAGCCTGATGAGGCCGCTCTGGAAGATTCCCCTGCGGTGGCCTCGGACTAGTGAGTGCAATACTCGTAATTAGCCTGGGGCGGTGGTTGGGTTGCATTACTCCGTACACGACTTGGCTGGGACTCGACACCAGCTGCGATGATGATGGATGATGCTGGTGTCGCAACCAATATCTCGTATTGTTGTTGAGCACTGACCTTCCCCCCTCAAGTCCACCTTTCCCACTTCCAGCCGCCTTTACGGAGTCCTATAGTACAGTACACACATTATTCTGCCCATCCCTCAACCTGCCGATGCGCACGGGAAAGACTTCAGCCAAAATGCGACGACAATGACGCCAGCGATCGTCGTATGGATCGCCACTTTGTCCAGAACCTGCCCTGTCGATTCTCGAAACGACACAAGAAAATATCAGAAAAAATATAACGAATATGAAGGAGCTGCAATCACTGTTCTAATGCAGTGGTCGATATACAAACGACCTTGTCGTTGAGAAGGTTGTTCAGGACACCCAGTTCGTTCCTGCAGAGGTTGGGGAGCCTCAGGCCAAACACTCAAAGCCTGGCATTAATAAGGCCGGTCGCCCACGCCGATCTGTCGTGAACTACAAGACGAAGCTCCTGGCAGCTACACGTAGACTTATATATCTACCAGATCAAGCTACTCATTCAGTTGTTGTTGCATGGCAACCAGCACGCGGAGAGAGAAAACTACATGTGTCTGCCGACCTACACATGACCGACGTGAATATCAATGCTCCTCTCTGTATTGGGACACCATTGGGCTTTGTAACTCAAGTGGTTGGCCACACGGTATCGGAAGGGCTCATTCAATAGAGATTGCTCTCTTAGTGGGATTTGAAAATTGTATACAGCAAACTCTCTCAGACGTGTATTCCGAGCACTCTTCCTGTTTTACTCAACTATAGACTCCTTAGATCTTAAGTTATACAGAGTGAAAATCGCTTGCCTTTGAACCATAAACATGCAGCTAGTGCTTGTACTGATGTTACTGTGCGCAATATCCTACATCCACATTCAAAATCGAGCTGGTCATCGAACTGGCTCCCTCACTACAGAGGAATAGCACCGCCTTCGCAAGATCCTCGGGCGAGCCCAAATGCGGCCAGGGACTTGCATTGTGCAGCTGCTGATGAAGCTGCTCGTCCTCCAGTGCTGACCGCACCATAGCGGTTTTCAAGTAGCCGGGATACGCAGCGTCGACGTGACTCCTGTCGGGGCCATAGTCAAGTGCTACCTGACGCGTTAAGGTCACGATGGCGCCTTTGCTCGCGCAATATGACGCTACGAGCATGTCAGTGGCGCTGTTCCAAGCTCTGCTGTTAAGATGAAGACGAGGCTCTCATACGCTTCATTGACAGTCCAACGAGGCCTCCAATTGAGGCTATGTTGACAACCCAACCTCGATCTCCTGATGCGCGTGGCTCTTGTTTTATCATTTGTGTGATGGCATATTTCATTTCAAGGAATGTGCAAATACTCTTCTCGCCTTATGTATACCCAATCCTCGTCATGCAATGACTGTTGAGTAATTTCGACTGCAATAGCACCTGTCGTTCCTCGCTGCCATGCCATCAACGACCACTGCAGAAGTTGATCGATTCCCCAGTTCATTTGTTATATCTGGAAAAATGGCACCGGCCAGGATGCAACAACAAAACCAAATAGTATTGTCAAAAGCAGCGCAGCACTTGCTAGATATTGAGTCTAAGTATACAGTTGGAGGTTTCACGCCACTGCCAGGCGTCTTCAAGAAGGGAAAGGGATCCCAACTTTGGGTTCGTGGCCATTGTTCATAACTCTTAGCACTCCAAACCCTGGGTGTAATCTGATAACACGCAATGCAGGACATCGATGACAAAGAGTATCTCGAATTTGTCTGCATGTTTAGCGCATGTAACCAGGGACACTGTCACCTAACAATCGTGACAGCTATGATAGAGCAGGTGCAAGAGGGTAAGCAGTGAAGGTGATTTTGACAGGAAAGTCTAGCACTGACACGGACTCCAGCATACTTGATCAACACTTCAACACACAGCACACGATGGCCATTATACGCCGAGGTGGTGTACAAGAGATTCAAGTATGACAAATCTCCCTATGGTTACCAGCACTGAGGGAGCCGATCTGGCTTGCAAGATAGCTCGACAATATACGCACGAGGTCAAAAGTATACCACCCGACCAAATTCTCATCCTGGCAGTCTCTGGAAGTTACGATGGATTGTCTTTGGGTATATGGAGTCTTCAAGGCCCAAATCCTGCAAGAACCGGTAAGCTTGTTGATTCTGGAGACAATCCGCTGTTACCAACCACATCATGACAGCATATGAACTGGATAGCATACAACATACCAATATAAACCCTTCTAATAGGAAAGTATTGGAGTACAGAGTCTTGTCAATTATGGAAGAATGCCAAGGAGCTTCACCAATATGTTGGGCTGTCATAATAGAATGTAGCCACAATACCGGACAGTATGTAACCATATGCAATGTGAGAATATCAAACTGCAATAATTGACAGTCGCTAGCACCTACAAGGAGGAAGTGACATATGCCAGAGGTGTCTACGATCTCTGCAAAAAGTACAGCATCATCTTTGCTGCTGATGAAGTCTGGATGGGATGTGGCAAGACTAGAAAGTTCTTCTCCTTCAACTACCTCGGAATGATTGCGGACCGGACATGCTCATTATTGCCAAGTCCATGACAGGGGGGGGCCTATCCTGCATCATTTGTACTCAGCGATGAGAATATCATGGCTGTGGTAAAGCTATATGAAAGTGGCTCGACCTTTGCCCACACCCCTATGGCCATTGTGGCTGCAGATGCCACCCCTCACACCCTTGATGAAGAAGACATGGTCAAGCAGGCCCATGAGATAGGCAAGAAGTTTGCGGCTCTAACAGAGTTGTTGAAGAGCTATTTATATATTGGCAGCGTCAAGGTCTGTGGTGCTGATTTTAGTATCCCAATCAATGAGAACCCCAAGGGGTGGGTGATGGTGCACTGGATTGTTGGCTTGCGCCTGGCCAAAGGGTTGCTGATGTATATGCTTGAACGACGCCTCAAGATGAGTGTCTTGATAGTAATGACAGATGAGCAAGTAGAGAGGGATGTCAAGATAATAAGGGAAGCAATAAATGAGGTCACGGAGTATGACAGAGCGAGTCCGGGTGAGGTATGGCATAAAGTACATTAATACATTCGGATTGTTTTAGTGGAGAGAATTTAAAAAAACATCATTTTAATGGTAGGATATTTCTTCGCTAAGTACTGCACACGAGTAGGTCGGCGGTAACACTGTTGTGGTCTAGAATCGTTGTTCTGGACTTGCTCGATTCGCTATGAAGTCGAACGGAGGCATTTTATTTAATGTAGAGTAGATCATGAGATGCACTCCGTCTGCCTCACACATCAACCGACCTAGAATCGGTAGTTATCAAAGCGTCCCAACTCGATATGTGTTCTATTCAATACGGCCGCTGGCGGACCAGGAGTAAAAACGGGAATCAAGAGCACAATAGTGTCCTCCTCTGGCAAGGTTTGTCTTCGAGTACCACTTGAGCGTGTACAGAAAGGAGGAATAACATGCATTGGCCAATGGATAGAATTTCCGGGCTATACCCTCAAAAAAGTAATCGTTAACCTCGGATCCGATATGGGTTTTCCCACAATCCCATAATGCAAGTGTACAGATCACAACGAGAGAGACTTATGAGACTCTTAGCTCTTATTAGCAGGCTGTAAATATGGCAATATCAGCGATGACGAGATACTTCTTACGGTCGACGCCAGTGCCTCCGCTGGCTCCTCGCCCGCTATATTATGCGCGGTAGCGAGACATAGACGATGAAGCAGGAGTTAGGCGCGGGAGCTCATACCCTATCATCCCAATAGATGGAACGAAAGTAATAAATACTCACCTATGAATTATCATCCCTTACTTAATACGACCTTAGGGATAAGCAGAAGGGCATCGTGCGCGTAATAAATCATCCAATAAGCCAATAACGGAAAGGCTTCCGAGGCGGGGCCGATGTTGCAATGTCAAGTTGTAGAACTTTGAAGGGCTGTATCGATCAAGAAGAGAATCTGAGCCCTGGGGCCCTAGCCAGCTTCAATATGCCTATGCAACAAAGAACAGGATCTGCATAGTTCCATGCCATGCTAGGTTAATGAGGCGTGCAGAGTCCCGAAACAACACAAACTTTAGCCAGAATGGCATAGACTGCTTAAGACAAGTGACAAGAAATTCTTAGCATTTTGTAGATCGAGACTGGGGTGTCGGTCGAGAATTGTGCAAAGACGGCAGCTACAAATGGTGTTGATATACTCTTCATCGTCCCCAATAATCTCGCGGCTTCACGGGGGTATTTTGCTTTCGATCACGCCAAGGTCCTCAAAGTGTAGTAGGCTGCAGATTTGACGGTATTGACAACAGCATTCACTTATAGATCAATGGCAACGAATTCGAATACCATCAAGGATTCCGAAACCTAGCGAGTCTGATATCACTGCTTTCGTGAACTTCGAAGGCAAGGATGAAGTTCCGGGTAAATCTCATTAGTCCTGCTGTGGCACTTATATCGAGGATCAGGATCATGGTGGCTTTCAGGTATATAGGAATGGACCAACCATGGGTTGTGGAAAGAGTGTCTTCTATACCTTCGGTGTGGAGTTTGGAGATGACCCAATGATGGTATATACAAGTTTAGAGCGACTATGCAACTCCGACCATACGCCTAAGCTTGAATTGATTGAATGAACAGAAGAACGTAATCGAACCTGTACGTGCTCAGTTTGATGTGCACAACATCATCAAGGACGGATACAATTTCGTCGACTTCAGACATTTTTTCGCCACATGTAAGGATTGGACTCTTGATTCCAGGTACGTGGGGGCTATGCCAGACTGTCTGATTTATGCTAAATGGTCAGCATTATAAGCTCTATCTCTGGCGATTTGATCATACCAAAACTCTTTCAGGTCAAATAAGATCGGTGGATCTCCTTTAGGCGTTATAGAACTTCGAACAACTACTTATGCGTAGTTGACTGTAAGGTTCCGCCTTTAGAACTGCGAGTTTGTAAGCAAAGGCTTTCGCAGAAACTATATCGCGTTGGAAGTAAATAAAAGTATTTGTCTACGGAGTGGGCAAGTCCCAAAACCTGGACTCGCAGGCGCAGGTTATTCAGCCCTATAGAACATCTTAGTCTCTAGCTTTAACCTTCGAAACGGGTCCTGTCATCTTTGTGGGTTAGTATAGATATCAGCAAGCAAACTTGAAAAGTCAAGAGACAATGCACAAAAACAGCCAGCATTATATATAAAAAATACTGGAATCGCCAGTCTGTGTAGAAGTGTCACTGTGTCAGACTAATCTTGTTATGTTTTCAAATGCTTCGTCCTCGTAAGTATAAAGTCATTTTTATTTATAGAGTTTGATGGCTAATGTTTTGTCAAAAGATAAATTCCAATCTTGATAAATAGCCCTATGTCATGTTGGAAAAGTGCACATCGACTGGGCTGGAGTAGACGCAGAAAACCCCAAGCTATTCCGAGCTGTAAAATCAGGCGTAAAGGGTAGTACACAGCAGCACAGTACACCATGCAGCTCGTTCTTATCCACCCGATGGACCATTTGGTTATATACCATCCTTAAAAATCCAACTTTCAGGGACCTGTTTCCGCCACTCTATTCAAGCTTATGAGGTCTGGGGCATGAGATTTAACGCCACAACTCTTGTTTTCAACTTTGAGGCTCCTATTAGGCTGCTGAACTAGTAATCCTTGCGTCCAGAAAGTGGATACCTGGATGACGTCCACATCCTCATGCGCTTTCCCCAGACCATCATCGGAATGACTGTCAGATACACGGCGATAGTGATAGCGGCAGTTGTTATGGAAATGATTTTCACTGCATCAGTGTATTAGTCAAGTCGATATGTTTGTTTGTATTCTTGGGAAGGTTACGACTTACCACCGCTAGCCGCTAGCCATGGTGTAACCGCATATGTCCAAGCAAAACCGAGTAGGTTTCGAATCACGATGACACCAACGAATGATTCGACAGCGATCGGTCTATAGCAGTCGACAACGTATGCCATTGCGATCTCTGACTGAGCTGTGTACGCAAATGAAGTCATTGCCTCGCCGAAGACAACAGGAAACCAAGGGCGGTGCTAAAGTAAACTATGGTCAGCTGGCACACCAGCTCAGTATGGAGAAAATCGTACATCAGCGGCGCTTAGGCCAAAGATTAATAGTGCTGCCGGCATAATTATCACGCCGGTCAAGAAAAGAGGCAGTCGATGCTCGGCCTCTCGAACACCCCCATTGCGACGAGCGAGCCATAACATGACGTAGTCAGAGGTAGGGCCGGAAATGAGAAAAGCAAGAGCTGCTCCGATGATGGTCCCAAATCGAGTGTAGCCCTGAGCCACAGCACTGAAGTCGTACGGTGCAACTCCAAGGACTTGGGGCAGCATACTCAAAATGACGACGTACCAGCCGAGGTTGATGCCGTATATCAAGCCGGCCTGGAAGATATCAGTGGGGGAGAGCAATAGTCTTTGGGAAAGATTTGCTCACCCAAATCACTACAGGAAACGTGAAAAGCGTCAGAATTTCCTTCATCTCGGTCAAGGTCGAGCGGCTACAGATGAAGTAAGCTGTTGTATAACTCCTCAAAAATTGAGGGCTTGTGCTTACCGATACTCAGGGCTTTCAAGTTGCCAGAGAGCCAATTTCTGAAGATATGTTTTCTTAGGTGGAACAGCAAAGGTCTCAGACAGGTCTAAAGGCTGTGATGGTAGCGGTTCTGCAAGGTCTTTTTCACTGTTGTTGTTTTGACCTAGGCTCTGGTCCGTGCTCCGTAGGGCTGGGGCCGTGGCTGCCGATATAACATGAGAGCTCGGGCGTGTATATCGCGTCTCTTCAAAGGTAAACAAGAAAAGAAGGAAAAGCACACCAAAGAAGATGCACATGACATATCCAATCCAGCGCCAATTAATGTAGGGGATTGGGGATGAGGCGATAAAACCTCCGCAAATTGTTCCAAGATCAGTACCTAACAGCGCCATCCAACTATTAAAAAGTTAGAAAAAGTATTTAAATGTCTTGCGATATTTGGTCAACTCACAACATAAGTGCCATAAATGTTCCTCTCTGGTGAACAAAGGTGACATCGTTCACCATCGTTGTTACCATCCCTTCATAAGGGCAGCAAAATATGCCTATGAAAACCGACCTCGCATAGTAACTCCCTTTGGTCTGATATAGAGCTGTCCAGAGCGAGGTCAAGCAGGCGCCCAAGGAGCACAGCACGTAGACCGGCCGTCGGCCATAATTCCTTGCAATCTGTAGGAAATCAGCATCTCGTCGGAATAAGCAACAACGGTTTCTACTTGCAATGGCCACCGGGAAGTTGCCGAAGCCTAGGAACATGATCGATATTGCGTAGCCATTATTCAGCTCGTCGTAAGATATATCTAGGTCTTTGGCAGTGTCTGCCCAACCAAGAAGCGGTCCTATCTCTAGTCAGTACCCGGCCGAATGAAATGGATATGGACAGGAGCATCTTGACCTGTGATGATAGCTGCAGAGCAAAATGTAAAAGCGCCAATAAGAGCCATGTTGTAGAACTTCTTCACGTGAGGCCAGTTCAAGGGGTCATTTGGATCAGCTGTAGGCTGAGGGATCGGAACGACCTCGCCATGCTTTCTAGTATCACTATCTCTGTCTGGAAACAAACATGTCCATAAATTAACCTCCTAATAGAATAAGGGACTCGAAAGTGACTCACCTGTATAAATTTTCACTGTACCATGAAGTTCGTACCCGGATGCGGTGGTGAATGTGTTGTCCTGCATGACGACTTGCAACAGATCTTGTTTGCCTTAGATAAATTTTCTGTTGAACCTCGGGTTCAGATAGTTGTAGAGATCAGGTCAAGAATAGGAGATGAGAGGGAGTAAAAGAATGCCTTTTATATGCTTGAGGGATGTCGCACATCGCATACTCGAGTTGATGGCTATTCGAAGTTATACGGTCTTATCATGAGGGTATCGAGTCAAAGGAGATGAAGATGTCAAACGATAAGACTATAATGGAAAAGGGTATAGTCTAGTTACAGACACTAGTCTCAATCCGTGCCGATAACGATTAGATCGCCACTGAGCTTGGGGTTCCTCTGCGTGGAAATTATCCGCGACAGGTCAGGAAAAGTATGGGCACTGAGGCGCAGGAAATTGTCCGCGACGATAATCATGCCGCTTCGCCACCATCTATTCGCTTCGCCATAGCATGTCGCATATAAGTGAGTACGCAACCTATGCAGGAGGGACAAGAAGCGAATGGCCGAATGCAAGAGATGCTAGCCATTACACTTTTCGAGAACCATGCTCTGACTTTTAATGCGATGTGCCGATAAAATAGATAACCGAGAACACCCGAAATCTCATGATCAGGAAATGATTTGGCAGGGTTCAGGGATATGCGGGTGCCCAGAACCAACTCTCGCGGACAACTGCTCAGCATTTTTGAGCGCATTCGCTGCTTTGCGACCTCCACACATCATAAATAGCACTAAAAGATTCTATATAACATTGTTCAAAAGAGTATCCTACCACCATCATTACTCACTACAGCAGGCTTGACCCGCCGAACGGAAAGTTGTGCCATTCTGAGCAGCCACCCACGATGGCCAAGGTTTTCACCGTACCGGAGGTGGCGATGCATAACAAGAAAGAGGACCTCTTCATGATCATCCATGGCAAGGTTTACGACTGCACGGACTTCGCCGACAAACATCCGTGAGTTCCCCTGCATGTTATAGTAGACTCGACGGGCAGGCTACAAGACCTGAGGTGTTGACAACTGGCCGCCTCTTACAGTGCAGGGCATGAAATCCTTTTGGAAGTAGCCGGGAAAGAGGCCTCGGAAGCCTTTGAGGAAGTTGGGCACAGTGAAGACGCGAAGGCAATGCTTAAAGATCTTTTTGTTGGAGACTGCATCCCTCCGGTCAGTCAAAGTAACATGTCTCTAAAACTTCTCAGAGCTCGACATGCGCCAGTTCCTAATATCATGATGAAACTGATTTCTGACGATCTCTAGATCTCGTTGACTGTGAAGCGTGCATCGCACGGTAGCAATTTAGCTCGGCTTCGAAAGGAAATATGGTTAGGAGTCTTTCCTGTCGTGGTGCTGGGTGTTATCGGAGGGCTTTATGCACATAGATTATTTGGGAATGACCACGTATCAAGAACGTAAAAGGGCTTATTCACACATAATGTTATATATACTCTAGAAAGATTATACGTCATCTAATGAAACCGGCGGAGACAGTGGCGAAGATCCTAGCAGCTTGACTTCTGCTATGTATCATTCCATTGAGGAAGGAAGAAAGCAGCAGATAGATAGGTGCAACAATAGCCTCGTTTAATGATACTGTCTCAGGTTCCAGGTGATGCAGATAGTGACGAGAAGGAGGCTGCCATAGGCATAAAGTCGATCAAGCAGAAAAGTTATTACAGATGTACAACTATAAACATCTCAACAAGACGGCCTCTGACTATCATATCATGACTAGCTGCTACCAAACTCGGCAATCGACCACGCAAGGCAAGTAAAAGCAAGGGCAGCTGGTAGCGTGCGGACTCCACGGAGGGAAGTGCAATATGGGATATCCGCCAATCGCCAACAAAAGACTCCGCGGCGCATCCCCCGCACTATATCTGCATATCATTTTCTTGTTGTTCTTCCTCACCTCTACCTTTAATCCTCATAAGCAATATAGAAGAGGGACATGATCTATAACTCATCACAAGGAGACTTTATTTCACCACCTTCAATCTCCTCAATCTTTGGAACAAGATGCTTGCCCCGCAGCTCTCCTCTTAGCCATCCTGCCTCTAATCCAGGCGCAGGAGACAGTCCTTGGTGTCTTTGTTTTGCACCGTCATGGAGACCGTACAGCCAAAGCGTGGGCTCTCACCGTCTTGACCGATCTTGGATATGCCGAAGTCTACTCGTCCGGCAGCTACTTCCGAGACAGGTACATCAATGGTCCTTCTCCAATCTACGGCGTTGCCCAGGACATCGTAGAGAATGCCCAGATGAACGTGCAGGCACCAAGTGATACGGTCCTGCAAAATTCGGCTCAAGGGTTCCTGCAAGGACTTTACCCTCCTGTGGGTTCAACACTGGGCATCCAGCAGTTGCATAATGGGAGCAGTGTTCAGGCTCCATTAAACGGCTACCAGTTGATTCCCATCAGTACAGTCACCTCACTGGCCGGTGGCACTAACTCGGAGAACACTGCTTGGCTTCAAGGTGCCAGTGGTTGTAATAATGCTATCATCAGCTCCAACAACTATTTCCTGTCCTCAGACTTCCAAGCCCTTCAGAACAGCACCGCGAGCTTCTACCAAAGCCTTAATCCCGTTGTTAATGGAACCTTCACAGCCACATATAATACCTATAAGAACGCTTACTCTGGTAAAAAGAACACATCCACAATTGGCAGACTAAACACTGACCTTTCCCAGTTTTGATCTGATCAATGTTGCTACAATTGACAATGTGACCATTCCCTCATCCAATCTTCTCACTGCAGAAGTCCTCCTTCAACTCCGCACCCTCGCCGACCATCACGAGTTTAGCCTCGCCTACAATGCCTCTGACCCCATCCGTGCCATCGCTGGCTCTACACTTGCTGGCCAGATCCTGCAGCAACTGAACAACACCATTACCACCAAATCTGCTGTCAAGTTCAACATCCAATTCAGCGCCTACGGCACCTTCTCCTCATTCTTTAGTCTCGCCCAGCTCGCAGCGTTCTCCCCTAATTTCACTGCAGTTGTTGACTACGCCTCCTCCATGACTTTCGAGCTGGCCACCAATGCAACAGTCTCCAACACTTCCTACCCGGCCGTCAACGAAATATCTGTCCGCTTTCTCTTCGCTAATGGCTCTGCTGCACTTAACGGTGTCACTGCCTACCCTCTTTTTGGCCAATCCTCAACTACTATTCCCTACAACAGCTTTGTTGGAAACATGAGCCAATTCGCCATCGGCGACTAGGCTACCTGGTGCTCTGCTTGTGGAAACAGCACTGATGTCTGTGCCTCCACGGCCACTTCATCATCTTCTTCCTCTTCCAGCAGCTCCTCTGCTGCTGTAGCCACTACCTCCTCGTCCTCATCTGGTGGCATGTCCCTTGCCGTTGCAGGTGTCATTGGTGCCATGGTCACTCTGGCTGTGATCCTTGGCCTTGAGGCCCTTATCCTCTTGCTTGCTGGTCTTCGAGTTGTCAGCAAGAAGGGACTTGGTGCTGCACCTTCACCTGCTGCTGCAATTCTTGCTAGCCCAGTTAAAGCATAGGAGATCTATATGAGGTATGGTGATCTAAGTGGGGAAAATAACTGTATAGACTGAATCCATTGTTGTAATTTCCTTGACAGATTCGTGAATGATACTCAGCTTGACAATATGGGCAAGTGAATATACAAACAGGATGTCAAGTACAAAATGAAAAACTGAGGGCAGCATTGCTGTTGCACCCTGTACAAAGCTAGGTCATTCAGAGAAGATCAAAGACCTACATTTTGTGTTGATATTTTGCCCACACACCACCAAGTGCCCACGCTTTTACTTGCCTCGCGTGATATCTGTAGCGACTTATCCATCAATACAAGCTATTGGTCAAATAAGGCCTGATTTGGTCAAATTGACCACGTCGATTATCGACGCACTGATTTCATTAACAATACAGTATCATGAACCACTGAAAATACATCTGTATATGAGCAATGAATGATGGTATATTGCCGGCCCTGAAAACACCTGTATAAGCAATGAAAATGGCCCTATCCATGGCCCTGAAAACACCCATATTGCCAATGAAAATTGCCCCTGGCCCTACACACGATCCTTTGCCTTTTGCTATACCTAATGCCATTATTATCACTATTCCTGCTCCTACTCTTATCATTGCCACCAGTTGCAACTACAATAGTATCTGCATTTCCAGAGTTTCAAGGGCCTCCAATGCTGTAGTTGTGGTGAAAATGGGTGTAATTGGGCAGCGATAATTGAAAATAGGTGGGTGACATTGGACCTGGATCACACAGGAAAATAGGCCCTTATTATATAGACCTCTAAACCCCTAAACATGAAATCCTGATTAAGCGATTCATAGACGCTCCTGACATGTCGCATGAAGCAATTATTATACATGGAAATAAGTGTGATTGCCAAAAGTCAATTATCATATGATAAGGCAGCAGAGCAGTTTCACCTGTGTGCAGGCTATGCATGATTTCCCAATTAGGCATTCCAAAGCTACATTGTAGGTGTGGAAATGGGCTGTGCCGAGGTGTTGGTAAAATCAGTGCATCGATAGTCAACACACACTAGTGGTGGCTTGCTTCACCAAATTAGCGTCGATTTGGTGGAAATTGGCCCGATTTCATCAAACCCTCGTATTGATGGATAAGTCGCTACAGATCGATTGCCGAGTTTGATGGCGGCTAGTCAGTCATGATAAGAGATAAGAGATAAACTGTCTTATCATCGTGTTGAACCAGCTGAATCCGGCTTTGACTTTGCGACATCTAACAAAACCTAACTGTGACGAGGGCTATCAGTCAGCGAGTCACCTGTACCGGAACACTGTGAAACTATCCCAGTTCAGCTAGAGATATCTAACCGGTACACCTAATTTAAGTTTGTCTAGGGGGAAGTTATCCGCGACCAGAATCAGGATGACTAAAATCATAAAGTAAAACCTGACCCACTAGTTAAAGGTTATTTAGTGGGTCCAATAGGCCATACTGATGGCGTTATCTTCATTGAGATATGTCGACTGCTCATGTGCAAAATGTTCACATCGAACTCATTCTTCCATATAACATATCATTATATGCTGACTGCACTGTGTATTGATCCCCTCAGCTGTACTGTTTCAAGCTGGTCATTTATCGAAGTATCCTAAACATTATCCGCTTTCCATCCACGGCAAATCCATGCTATTATAGCCAGTATGGAGATTAGTCAGGTATGTTTATTGGGACTCTTGTGGAGATTGGATAAGTACCTTCAGGCTCATCTACATCCAAGATCTATGTTTATCCTGTTAAATCCCTTAGAGGAACGGCCCTGCAAAGTGCTACCTTATCGAAAGAGGGATTTGTTATAGACAGGAAATATATGCTCATGAATGTTCAGCGGGACAAATTAGAGAACATGCACATCACTCATTTCCCAAGGATGGCACTCTTCTGCACATCTATAGAAGGCGACAACATCACAATCAACTACCACGAACCCTTGGGCGCTGATACGGCAAAACAGACTCTGAAGATTCCACTTCGACCTTCCTATGAGGGTTTGGCAGAGGTTCCGATAGAGATGCATTCAAGCCCAACTATCGGTTATGATATGGGAAACAAGTATGGCAAATGGTTCTCAGACATCTTCGGTTTCAATGTCAGGTTGATCCACTGGGGTGGAAATGCGCGACAAGTATTGGGGAATCTTCCAGGAAGGAAACAAAATCAACCTCCGCCATCAAATGGTTTGCTTTCGACTCTAACAAGCTACGTTCCTGTCATTGGGTCTTGGTTTCGATGGGAAAACGAACGTATCGCGTTCAATGATATCGCACCATTCCTTGTCATCACAGAGGAGTCTTTAGCCAACGCTGCAGGACGTCTTCCTCAAGGGCACACTCTGGACCCTACAAAGTTCAGGGCAAATTTGGTATTAAAGGGTGCTCCAGAGGCATGGGATGAGGATTTTTGGGGAATACTAACCATAAACGAAGGTATCAAAATGACATTAACTGCAAATTGCGCGCGATGCGTCTCCATTATTGTGGACTACACCACCGGCCAGTCAGGGACCGGAGACACTGCTACATTGCTAAAATCACTGATGAAGGACAGACGGGTTGATCCAGGATTGAAATTCGCTCCTGTGTTTGGCAGGTACGGTTTTGTGACTGAGCAGGACCAAGGGAAGGTTTTGAGTGTAGGAGATAAGGTGAAGGTTACAAAGAGGAACTCTGAAAGGACGAGATTTTGTAGGATACCCCTCTCTCTTCTATTATTATGGCTAACCAGGTAATATTAGACTGGCCTAATATATCAACCCAGTGATCTTGCCATGCTGAAACGCGTTGTTCGTATGCACAGAGCCATTTTGCGAGTAGCTTACCTAAAACCAGAAAGGTTATAAATTTTGCTATGCCCACTTCATTTGAGCATTATCTCTTACAATACCGAAACACAAAAGAGATCAACCGATACGGTATTTGGAATACCTATGCTTATATCAAACCAATGCCACAGGTGCAAGTAAATGCGGGTCTAGCAGTAATGCGTTTATCTTACACGGCATTTGCGCTCAGTGTCTATAGAAAGTGGGTCAAGCGTTGCAAACGTCTATCAGGTTCGTTCCCCTTGAAAAGGTTCTTCTCAGCATGGAGAATTCAGAGGCCTTAGTTGTTCCGGGTCTAGAATCTCTAGAATCATATGGAGCACAAAACTTAATTCTGTACGCTGAGCCGTAATATACATACTTACGCGATGTTGTATTCTTCCCTCAACATGATTGTAGCAAGGATTAGAGATCTCAGAGATCGACATTATTTCCTTGCTTGCAAAAGCGTCCAATCAAATGGGTCGGATTGATCTGGTTATCTATGTTGAAGCCTGAAAATAATATTTAGACAGAAGAAAAGACTATAAAATGAAGACTGAAGCCATGATAACAGTGGATTTCTTCCTGCTAAGGCTGCCCAAGCGAAGAGGATTCAGAGTTCGAAAGGACAGATCTTCAGGAGGGAAAGTGCTCTTTTTGTCCTAAGCCTGCTAACTACGGAGCCTAATTTACTGCGTAATATCACCTGATTCCTCGGGCCCGAGGGGCCGGTAATCATAAGCGAGGTCTCAAGTTTCGGGTGGTAGACTGACGTCCAAGATCTGTTCATGTTCATCAAAACCGAACCGTCCTCAATTGATACGTGCTGCGAGAAAGACGTCAAGAAATCCTGGTCTTCTCTCGTGCCTTCAGTGTCTAATATGGCAGCGGACGTATCGCATATCTCGCACTCTCATCAGCCGCGAAAGCCTCGAAGAGAAAAGAAGCGTACGAAGCACTCGAAGACGTACTCTGGCTGCTGGACATGCCGCTCGCGTCATGTAAAATGCGATGAGACAAAGCCAAGCTGTCTGCGGTGCAAGCGTGCCACATTAGGTTGTGGTGGGTATGGCATCAAATTGGTTTGGGACGATGAAACTGATACATCAACGGAAAGGCGGTCCAACCGTCGCATCTTGTTTGACGAATTTGAGGATCGCATGCCCGCCCTCAGCTCAGAATATATCGAATGGGCAGTCGATTCGTTGGATGTATTTGAGAGCGCAGAAAGCTTGATTTTGGCACCATTCACAGTCTTCACTACATCTCGAACTTCAGATCGAACTTCAGACGTGAGGCTTGACACACATTCCCTTGAAGGAGAGACCTTGGACGCGCACATAGCGAAAGGCCAAAAACTCGTCCCGTCGGTTGAACCATGGACAAATCAGGTCTTGAGCAGATGTCGCGCGCCAGGAGCGACTCTAGAGCTAAAGAACGAAGATAAAATCATGGCCGGGGATTTGTGTGCTCCACGGCCTGTCACCATTCCCTTCTTTTACGTGGCTACTCATGAACAGCGGCAGCTTCTCCACTATTGGGCGACACACCTAAGCGGACTAATGCTACCTGTCGAAAGTATCACCAATCCTTTTCAGGTAATTTATATCCCCTTGGCTATGGTTTCCCCAAGCTCGCCCTCTGCTGGAACAGGTAGTAAGGCTTTACTACACGCTATTTGTGCTATCGCAGCTTTCTTTCGAGCACGTCATGAATCGCAGCCTGGCGACCTAAACAGCGTTGGTACTAAATATCATCGTCTGAGCCTTAACTGCTTACGAAGAGCTCTAATGACAAATGACCAAGATCAGAAGGAAGCCATCTTAGCGACGATAATCGCTCTATCTACACTTGAACTCATAATCGGCAATTCCTTCACCTGGCGTATACATATCGATGGTGGAAGGATATTCCTTGCAAATACTGCGTACCGGAAATCCAACAGCAACTGTCCAATATTGGTTCAGATATTTAAAGCTGTTTCTGCACTATCATGGCACAGTCCCTGTGATGCCGAAACCTCCTCATCCCGCCTAGAGCCTTCGAGCCCATGGGACAGCAAAGGGGTTGATGACGATTTCGAGGAGATTGACGAAACAGTGTATTGCCTTGATACTTTATACGGGCTTACAAAACCTGTATATGACTGCATAACACGAATTCGTCAGCTTTCAAATGTTAGCCCGTCCGAAGAAGAGCTAGTCACGCTACAAAGCAGAATACTTGCCTCCAACCCGGCCACGCTCAGTCACCCAACGAAAAGCACAACTTGTGAAGAGCTGCGACAGCATCATGCATGTGCATTCTACTATGCCTGCCTCATCCACTTTTACCGAACCCTCCGGCGGACGCCGCCATTACATGTTCAACACCTCGTTTCTCAAGGTCTCAAGCACCTCAACGCAATCCGATTTTTAGAAGCAGAGATGAATGTCGCAGGTCTTTTGTGGGCACCCTTCATCACTGCGTGCGAGGCAGAGACACCTGAGCTGCGTCGTTGCGCAATGTCCTTCTTCCGAAGTAGCAAGATTCGCGATGTAGGCAATGTCTGCTTGGCTGTTAATGTTGTACTAGAGGTATGGCGCCAACGAGATGCTATGCAATCAGACCAGGGCAATATTAGTTGGTTTACTGTAATGAAGGATCTAGGTATTGACATTCAATTTATTTGAGAATTTTAAAAAAAGAAAAAGACATAACGTACTTGATAAGCGAGTGAGACAGACAAGCGAGTGAGACACCTCACCAAAATTTTACCGCCCGTAGACTTTCAACGTATTTTTCTCTACCACCAATAATGGCATCGTCTAATAATGAATGTCAAATATACCTTGCTCTTCAGGCAATCAAACAAGACCCAAATCTTACCGCCCGGGCCACTGGCAAGATCTACTCGGTTAGTCACGCAACCTTGTCCCGCCGATTGAGCGGTACCCAGTCTCGACGCGACAGTATACCAAATTTACGGAACTTGACGCGTCTCGAGGAGTCTACAATTGTTCAGTATATCCTTGACCTCGATGCGCGATTGTACCCTCCCCGGCTCGCTGATGTGGAAGATATGGCCAATCGACTGCTCGTAGAGCGCGACGCGCCGAAGGTTGGGAAGCGCTGGGCATCAAACTTTATTAAACGACAACCAGAGCTTCGGACGCGTTTCCTTCGACGGTACGACTATAAGAGAGCCCAATGCGAGGATACAGAGATCATTCGAGCCTGTTTCTCGCTTGTGAAGAATACGATCGCTAAGTATGGCATTGTAGACTCGGATATCTACAACTTCGATGTGGCCGGGTTTATGATGGGCATCATCTCCACAGGCATGGTCGTGACGAGTATAGACAGACGTTCTAACGTCAAGTTAATTCAGCCGGGCAATCGGGAATGGGTTACAGTAATTCAAGGGGTTAATACGCAAGCCTGGACCGTACCTCCGTACATCATCGTTTCCGGTAAACATCATCTCTCGACTTGGTATGAAAACAGCGCTCTACCGTCCGACTGGGTCATCGCCACGTCTTCCAACGGCTGGACCACGAACGAGAGAGGTCTAGAATGGATCCAGCACTTCGATCGACACACTAAGTCGCGTACAACGGGCGGATATCGGCTTCTCGTGCTCGACGGGCACGAAAGTCACCACTCCATCGACTTTGAGCTCTACTGCAAGGACAACGGCATCATTACGCTCTGTATGCCGGCTCATTCATCTCATCTCCTACAGCCTCTCGATGTTGGGTGTTTTGGGCCGCTCAAGAAAGCGTACGGTCGTCAAATCGAGAAGAGAGTACGGGCGGGTACCACCCATATCACTAAGGATGACTTCTTTCCCGCGTTTTTGGCCGCATTTCAGAACACTATGACAAAAAGCAATATCCAAGGGGGTTTCCGAGGGGCCGGGCTTGTTCCTCATGATCCAGAAAGTGTTATTACACGGTTAGATGTGAAGCTACGAACGCCCACACCTGAGGCCGGGGTTCTCTTACCCACTCCACCTTGGGTCTCTAAGACGCCCAACAACCCAACGGAAGCCGATTCGCAGTCTGAATTCATTAAGAATCGAGTCTCTCTCCATCAAGGAAGATCCCCGACGCCCATTCTCGAGGCCATTAACCAGTTCGCGAAAGGCACACAGGGAATCATGCACCAGCTCGCTCTTTTAAAGTCCGAGGTTAACACGCTTCGAGAGGAGAATGCTCTACTTAGCCGTCGTCGCCGCGCTAAAAGGACACGTCTCCGCGAAGGAGGAAGCATGACACTAGCCGAGGGACAAGGTCTGCAGGCTCAGAATGAGGTGGAAGTGCAGATAAAGCAGGAAACGCAGCGAAGTAGTGGTCGAAAGCTGAGGACGGAAACGCGGCCGAGAGTCTGTGGCGTCTGCGGGAAGTCAGGACACAATGCAAGAACCTGTCAAGTAGTTATCTCCTCATCTGAGGAAGAGGATTCAGAGTAGTTTCAATTGATTTAAGGCGTTGTGGTTGAGGATAGTCATGAAATACGTCGATGATTCTGGTGAGGTGGCCAGCTCGCTTGTCTGTCTCACTCGCTTATCATCCACGTTACTATAAAACGTAAATATTAGAGAAAAGAGAAGTAGGGCATTATTTTTGTTGGAGACGTGACTGCGTTACAACGCCATCAGTCTTTGACGTTCACAATTTCCGGGGAGTTCCGTCTATTTTCGTCAATCGTTATTTCCGTGAAATCCTTTTACTAGAGGGGAGGACGATCAGTCGAACCGATTTTGTTAAGGATATGAGATTATGCTCGGACTCGAAATGTTTCCTCATTAATTCCCTTGTACTCATCTTTACAATCATGGCTCCCATCCTGCATTTATATATACACCCCTCAGAGGGAGATTCCGCAGGTTGGATATGTATTAACAATGATGACCAAGAAATGACTAATCCCTCTCCTTGTCATCTCCCACATCGGAAGGCATCTGGACCGAATCTTCAACAATATCGTTGCTCAAGGTGTTTTCAATGATATA